CAGAGAATACATCAACATGGAAACAGTGAAAAAGGATTTCATAGCTGTTGGATAATTCAGCACAAGTATGTGATTTTTTTCTTCCAATTTCTTGTCATCGAAGTGCGTTCACAACTTCAAAACTTGAAGAGAGAATCAAATGCAACAATAGAAGTAGAAATCAAAGCAGTGAGAACGAGTGCTGGCAGCATTGGTTATGTTTATTTCATCACGTATAAGCCACAAATGAATCCAAGTATTAGCAGTCCATGCGACACCTCTAATCTTTGCCTCATGTCCAATTCCTCAGTACTTCATACGTCAAAAGGTTTATGGATCAGCTATCTCACTAAACTGGATTGTGAACGAATAGTATTAAGCCCAACCTACCATTGGACATGAATTGCATGGGTTATAATATCCCAAAGTTTAATGCTTTTTCTCTCATCGGAAAGTTTGATCGTAACGCTTATCTGATTCAATGATCACAAATGGGTCCATCTATATTTTCTGGTAACACAGAATGGTTAACCTCATTATGATTGTGTCAAGATGCCACCAAATGGCCACTGGGAAAAATAGGATTCAGAAGAGGAAGAGAATCCAAATATCATATTCCCAACGATGGAGCATGTCCTCCTCCTTACCCGACCAAGTGATCTTTGACTTCAGAACAGCTGAGCTAATCTTGGTTCCTATGATATCAAACAAAGGGAACGGAAGCAACAATAAGATGACAGGAACAATCTACATCAAAAGCAGTTCATCCTAAACCATTTTGCTGTCGAAGGTTAGCAGCATCATACTGTTCTAATCCAAGATACAAAAAGGCTAACAAAAATCTCAAATCTTAATGGCCATGGCAGCTCTAGTGAGACGATTCACCTTAGCAATATGCTAAAGCTGAATCTCTTTCTTATAGATCGAGGGTTAGAACTCTTGTTATTCTATAGTGATGTATTATCTTAAGAGAGAGAGAGAGAGAAGCAAAATAGTTGGATTGCAAATTGGAACTTTTTTTTATTCTGTTTAGAGTAATTAATAATTATATTTTGAACCCAAGTCAGAAACATATGCTAAAAATTGGTTACTTGATTACACTTCATTAAAGGTAAAAAGGAAAGATCGAAGAACAATATCTTAGATCTTTATTTGGACCAATCACAAGCCAAACAAGTGCTGCTATGAGCTTGCATGTACCATGCATGCACTACCAAATATCACCATCTTTGTCATGATGCAATCCCAACATCTTACAAGCCAAACCAAAGAAGTTTCCTTAAACTTATATATGTTATATATGTGTAAGAATATAGATTGTTTTTTATAGCACTAAGGTGCTGTTGATAGTTAGTGTATCATTACTGTCTCCTCCTCTCTCTTTGCAGAATCTCCTTATCTTGTGGTGGGAAAGATAAGTTGTGAATTTTCCTTATCTTTTTTTTTATTCTGAGGTTAGAATAGCTAGGGCCAGTTAGACTCTTATTAGAAACTTCTACACATATCTTATTTTTATAGGGGGAGAGGTGGCCCAATCCTTAGGGTTTAAGGACTTATCTTATGGCACGTATAATTAATACTTTTTTCTTATAGGACCGTTGTACCGCCTTAGTTGGTGACTATCCCTATTTGTGTATGGGCTATCCTGTCCTAATTTGAGTTAGGACTTGGAATAAGGTGAATGAATTGTTAGAAGGGTTTGGATTAAAGTGAATGAATTGTTAGAATTTGGATGACTACATAAGACTTAAGTCTTTAAAAAGCCTTTGAATATAGATCAATCAAACTAGTTGAATAGTATTTAGATGGTCCTCAATTATGGCTCCCCCAATTAGATAATTTACATCATATTGAATCTTACTTTGAAGCTTCTTCTCTTTCCATATGTAGTATTATGGTTGGCCATGCTATCTACGCATACCATTTTGATGGTGTTCTCTTTATTGTCGAGGAAAATTTCAGGTGCTTCTACTTATCGTCAAAACTCAATGATTTATTCTTACACAAATTGGTCCTTTCCTTAGTTAAGGTAGTGCTACTTCTTGTATCTTTCTTTAAGATAAGCAGGATTAGTCATTTTCATCATTATTGATTTGAAATTAGACTTGTCATCATATAAGCATATGTTTAATTAACTTGAGTCATGCAAGCATCACCCTATCCTCATTGTTAGTCATATAGATCAAAATAAATATCAAGTTAATCTATTAATGAGTGTAATACCTCATCATTGATCCAGTTATCATATGAGGATATGTCGATGTGAGCCTCAATATGAAAGGGTCTAGTCTTTACCGTAATGTTTTGCTTAACAATATATTCTTTGTAGTTGTGCATCTCAAAGAGATTTTTATTACAACGTTCCTTGCTTAGTCATCCTTTGTTATAGAATAATTGGTTTGGGCTTGTATCTAGCCCATCATGATCTCCGTATGCTAGGCTAGTACTCCCATTTGGGTAGTGAGGTCAGCCAAGGTTATTAGATTATTAGTTGTCATCCCATAAGTGTTTCTTCTTCTGGGTGATCATGGCGTGAAATACAACGCCTTTAGTTTTTCACTCGATTTTTTATATCCTTTTCTCATGGTCAACATATGTAAGATCGTTGCTCTGATATCACATAATCTATATGGGATTCAGATTCGATAATTTATCGACTCAATACTACCTTTTGGATGAAAGTTTGATAGAGGAGAAAACTATCGTAGAAAGGCTAAGCGTAAAACTAAAAGAAAACAATCTCTATTATTTGTAAAATTAAAATGCTAACTATAAAACTTGACATAACATGATAAAAGTGTGTTAGAAAACTTGTAGATGTATAAGAATATAAGTTGTCTTTGAACAACACTTCGGTACTCTCGATAGTTCCCCCATCACTATTAGTTTCATCTCCTCGTTCTCTCTCATTATTGGAACCTCATGAGATTTGAATAGTATCTAGTAAGCTTTAGGAACTTCTCGCAATAGCTAGATGAAGCTTTGACGAGGAGCTTTAGCTATTAGAATCTTAGAAAGAAATCTTCTATGGGAAGGAAGAGCTACTCCTATGCATAATTCTTCTTCTCCCTTCTTCTCTCTTCTCTATTATACCAGTTGGGCTCTAAAACCTTTTTAGTTCCCTTTAAATGAGTGCATACCTCTCATTTTAACGACGAGGGGTATAATAAATTCTTAAAGTTTAAGAACTTTCTTTATAAGGTAATTACGATTGCTCTTATTTGAGTAAGAATTATCTTACCCGTATTATGACTTGAATTAAGATGAGTGAATCATTGAAATTTGAGTTTCACATAGTCGATTAAATTGATTAAATAATGTTAAGATCGTTTATCAAATAGGATATTAAAAAATATCACATTGTATTTCTAATTAAAAGAATTAATAAGGAAAAATCATCCTCGTGATATCATATTAATTATATTACTTGATCTTTTACTAAATTTTAAGATGTGAAATTTTTTTTTTCTTATCACGAAACAAAAAAAAAGTGCTCAACTATACACACAAAATATTTTCGTTCAAATTTAGGTTTGGATATCTAATCGACTTTCAGAGCTAATTTTTCTTTTTTGCTAGAACATGTGTTCTATAATTTTGTTAAAATTATAATTGTTTGCGTTAAGCCATCGCAGTAATGAGATAATAATATTGAAAGAAATAGTTTAAGAAAGGAAGGGAGAGATGACTGACTGCACACTGAAGTTAATCTTCTTCTTTATTTTGGAGTCTTTAAAATCCCCTCTCCCATTAAAATCATCAGATTACTATGATATTTAATAATAATTTAATAGATAATTTAAAACTTTATATTATTATAATATTTAATAATAATTTAAAATTAATTGATGAAGACAACCGAATTATTACATTCATTAGTGATAAAAAAATATGATTGAAAAATTAATTTTAAATTAATTATTTATTGGAAGATAGCTAAATATAAATTCAAAATATCTACTGAATCGTCGATCGATCGATAGATCAAAGTATATTTTAATTAAAATTTATTTAGTAAAAAAATTAATTATAAAGATCATGAGATTTATATTATGTATTATGACATTTGAATTAATTGATTACGAACAAAATTCGAGTATACGGTGCAAACCCAAATAAAAAAATAAGTATTATACGAGTATTTTTATTTGAACACTCTTAATATATTCAAACTCTTAATATATTCTATGATAAATAGTTTGATCGGATGACTATTAATCTCAAAAGCTTAATCCAATAAAAGCATATATGGGATACCATGCAAAATTAGTATATTTTATCAAATATATTATAAATTCATGATATTCCGAACATTCATAATTTAATTTTTAGAATTATAAATAATCTAATGCAGAAAGTATATACGTTTGAATAAATTATAAATAAGAAACATATAGAATTCTTTTATTTGAACAATAAAAAGGTTAAAAAAAAAATACATATTAATTTTTTATCAATGCCATGACATAAGACCTTACGTCATCTCACATGTGGGTGACGGATGGATGACTCAACCTAATAATATCTAGAAATTAATTAAGCTTGACTTTAGATATTCCGACAGCATCTTAATTTTTTATTTATTTATTTATATCTAAAAGCTTAAGCTTTTGGATGAAAGTAAGATTTTGATTTTACAATCCTAACCTAAACTCAAAAAATAAAAATATTATAATAATATTTTAATGGCCATTTTGATGTCCCCAACATTGCCATGGCTGTGAGCATGTGATCTCCCCCCTAAACACACGTCATTAAACACTTAATTATTGCTGTTAAGCCCCCATTACCCCAAATCAAGATTCCTATTAGCCCTCACATCCTTCACATGGAAGGCAATCTATATAGAATGAGGAACGCCCCGTCCCCTGATTACCTACCCACGGAAAGGAACAGCCAACCAAAAGCCCATGTTGGTTGGGCCCCACTTCAAAGTGTTTAGACATAATCCGTGTTCTTTGGGTTCGTTCCGGCGTACAAATAAGCCTCCCTTTGCTCGCGTTGCTTCGCTCATCGCTTCTGCTACTGCTACTACTGCTTCTTCTTCGGCGAAGCGCAAGCCAAAGGCGGCGTTTTGATCGCTTTGCTTGCTTCGATTGCGCGAGATGAACCGATCGCCGACGGACGGGAACGAGCTGGAGGCGTCGGGGCTCGGGCTTTCCCGGTACGGCTCGGATCCCGGGTCGCTGCTCGCCGGGGTCGCGTCGGAAGGGGGGGGGATCAGCCGGTTCGCGCCCGCCGGGGAGGACTCTTCGTCGAGCTGCCGCGGCTCGGACCGGGGGCCGCGGGGACCGTACGAGCCGGATGAGGTACACGCGGCAGTGGATCTCGCCGCGAAGGTCGGCGGCGGGCCGGCCTTGGTCCGCCACAGTAGCTCGCCCGCGGGGTTCTTCTCTCGTCTCTTAATGGATCACGGTTCGCATCCTCCCGCCCCTCTCTCTCGCTCTCCTTCCTCCCTCCCCGTTTCCATTTAGTGGCGGGCCGGGCGGGGAGCCCGTTTCCCTGTCACCGGAAACCGCCGTCTCGATGCAGAGATGCGGGAAGCAAAGAGTGGTCTGAAGACGGCGTTCCGTTGCATCGTGACGGCGCCGTCTCTGCCGCTGCGGTTGGTTTTAGTGAGGCCGAGGTTGACCGGCCGTGCAGGTTGAATGAACTCGATCTACGTAGGCTACATGGCTGGGGATGGGCAGTAAACTTCGTCAATGGCGACATGATAACGATGGCAATGAAGGCACGGCAGTCGTAGACAACTCAGGAAAAATGAGAACAAGGTTGCGGTAGGGGGGCTACTTGTTTTGGGGCCCCAGCAAGGCGACATAGTTAGGTTCATTTGCCCCATTAATGGATCATTTGATTCTGTCATCACCCTGTTATGCTTGCTAAGCTTTTCCTCCTTTTATTGCTTCTGTCACACAAGAACAAGGTTGCAAATTGCATCACTTTTATGTTACAGGGATCTGAAAACGATAATTAATGATTAAAAGAACATCCCGGTAGACTCAGTTTATAGTTGTAAATGAATGAAAAGGTTGTTTTCGTGACCGATCTTCTAGATCACAATGGATAAAATTATGGTATCAGAGCTCAGCCTCCATTAAATAGATCGAGTTGCTTGTGATGATCATCTTGGACTAGTTAATTATGATGCATAGCGCATATTTGTTTGATCACGAAAATTTGTAGTGGTAATAGAATGCAGATGTCATTTTGAAGTTATATGACTAGGGAGACAACTATGACATCGGGTGAAAGGCCACTGGGAGCATGAAACCTTAGTGTGATGTTTCGAACCCTCCACCTGAGGTAAGAGATCCCAGATACACATCGCCAAATTATCTGGTTGGATATATAGTTTAATATGAAATAAGATACATGTAATGTGGAAGGTTTTTAAGCCGTGGATGTAATTTAACTTCTTGTCCCATGCTTACAATTAACTCTTGAGTTTCAAGTTAGCAATATCTGAGTGCTTCGAGTAGTAAATGCATGTTCAGAAGTGTCATTTGATAGGGAATGTTGTGATAGATGATGCTCACTAAAAAAAGTGCAAAGAGGCATAGTTACTCTTCTTGTATGATGAAGTTTAAAAACCTATAATTTTGTAAAGCTCTGTATGATCAATGATCCTTTTCTTCATCTTTTGTTTATTAGATGATGTTTGGTAGCAAACATGTAATGAGATATTCCTGGTATTCCATTATGATTTAATAGTTCATATGATTTTTCTGCGCAACCGTGCATATCTATCAAAAGTGTACTTAGTGAGTTAGTGTTCGACCTGATTTCATTCTAGATAATGCACATTTCATTGAACACATGAAATCTATGTTTGAGCACAGTCGCATATTAGGGATGATGGTTAACTTTTCCGAATAGTTGTACATTTTCATTTAGCAAGCATTTACTATTTGATTTTTTGTTCAACCTCTGAAGTTGATTAATGTCTGTGGCTATATCTTTTTAAAAGTTGGATTGTTTGGTTTTTCTTGTTGAAATTTTGCATCTTCCTTTCAAATGTCAAATCAATATGGATATCTTGACACATCTAATTTTGCTGCTATTCTTGTATCGAAACATGGATTTGCATATGGAAAATTAATATGGATGTGTTGATATTCAAAATCTTGAAATAACATAATACGATAGGGTGCAGGTAGATCAACTAAAATGAATTATACAATGCCATAGAACATTAAGCTTGCCATTTGTTTATGACAAATAATCTGTAGTGTTAGGACAGTTTGTTTCCTTGGTAGATGGTAACAACTAAATGCCATTGCTAACCTATTTATTCATCATGAAGGAAAGTTGTTTTTACTATAGGTCTTCAAGAATGCAGAAAAAACACCAAGAGCTTTTCATATTGAGCTTAGATCATTTTGTGGACTTCATTGATCGCAGTTTGATGCTTAATATAAGTAGCATAAAATTCCATCTCTTAAAGTATCAGGGAATCGATATTCAAGAAAAAGCAAAGTTTATTTCTCTCAAATATCTCAAAGTATGCTATTTTTGTAATTATTTAATGAATAGAATGCCTTGAGGAATTATGTGACACATCTAACAAGTACCCTAAGAGCAACATGTCAGGCAGAGACCCAACATGGATTAGTAATTCATGCTTCGTAGTGTGCCCACAAGGAAAAATCTGTATTCACAGTTCATTCTTTTCAGAGGATATGGTGCATTTCTTGTTTCCAAGTAAAGACTCCTGTTTGTGTTAATTACTCATAAAGAGGTGTAATTGCTTTTTTAGCTTGTTTTTAAGCAAGTGACGAGAATCATATCGAGCTTTGATGAATTATTTCATTTTGGACTTTCAGCAATTGCATGGGAAGGAAAATGTTAGCGATGCTTCTATATGTAGGAGGCTTACAATTCTAAGGATCTCTTAGAATTTCATCATTAACTGATTTATCTTTAACTCATAGGTCTATCTTCCCCTAGTGGAATTGGAAGTTACTCTCGGACCGGCAATGGTGGTGCGCACACAGTGGCAAGTAGAAGGTTGAGGTCCCAGTGGAGCTTTTCAAGGAAGGACACACTCTCACATATCTCTGAAATGAGCATTCCAGAGATAGGAGAGGATGTCGACTGTGACAGCAGCTCAGACGAGGCAACCGCACACGTCGAACAATCTTTTATCTCTGGCAATTTTCAGTTAAGCTCATGGGATGATAGCAATTCAATCATGTTTTCTGCTCCTCACAAGCGAACTAAAGGCAACAACGGGGATATACTCACCAGTTTGAGTAACACCGACTCTCAGGTATACTGAAATGCATGAGCTTTTGTCAAGGCAGTGTTTCAGGCTAAGAAAACATATATACACAACAATGCCAGTTATAGAAATCAGTCTTTCCATTTGGTTTTAGTAGAATATGCATCAGGTAGAGACCAAAAGGACATCTTTCTTGGTAGCAGAAAGTAAAAAAGTGCAGTTGTCAATGGTTATTCAATGCACATTCTTCAATGTGGAGCCAGCTTATTTTAACTTTCTCAGTTCTATGGACGTGTGATGTCTGTTAAAAATTTCTTCAACACTTATTCAGTATATATTTCATTGATTTCAGTTTAACCTATCAAAGAATTCATTAGAGGTGTCAAGCATCGAGAAGTACCTCCAGCTTCAGCAAGACTCGGTCCCTTGTAGAGTACGAGCCAAGCGTGGCTGTGCAACCCATCCCCGAAGCATTGCTGAGAGGGTTAGCTCATACTTATCCAAATACCTAATTCTTTTTCTCCATGACTACAACTGTGCTCTTCGTAAATTTAACATGAGTTGATCATCTACAAACTTGGTAGAGAAATCACAAAAGAGCATCTATGTTGTCTTTGTTCATCTAGTCCACCATCCAGTATCTTCTTTTCTCCAGTTCATGCCGTTGGTAGTTGCATTGGTGCACAGTTTCAATGTTTTTGTTTCTCCTGATAGGAAAGGAGAACAAGAATTAGCAAAAGATTGCAGAAGCTGCACAATCTTGTGCCCAATATGGACAAGGTAATAGAAATTTGGACACCTTTAAGGTGAAGTAAAACTCATGTTACCACCTTCTATAACAGGCAGACTACTGATTGTTCGAGCTGTTTGATGTTTTACAGCAAACAAGCACATCAGACATGTTAGAGTTGGCAATACAGTACATCAAAGAACTGCAAAGCCAAGTCCAGGTGTGCCTCCAGTGATATTAAATCGATTGTACTCAGACTTATTTCTTATCGAAACAAAGTGCACTCATATTCAATGATTGCATTAGAAGCACTTGCATCAGATATTTCAGTCTTAATTTAAGTGAATAAACAGTTCAACTAGGTTTCTGAAGATCATTAAGAATCTAACTTGGTATGATACCATGCTGAATGTGGCATATTCGCCTGTTTAATCACCACGCGAAACCAATAAGCTGACAAAATTATACACAAATCTCCTCTCCTGACATCATTTGCTTTTGCAGAAACTTAAACAAGAACAAGAAGATTGCATATGCACAAGCAGGCAAGAGAAGGCTTGAAACTCTGTCTCATTCTTGTGTATATAACATGATGGTTTGCTGTTATTGTTGTTGCATTAAGATCAGAAGAATGGTCTTTAATCTTTTGTGTTTGCAAGAGCATGTAAAAGAGGTTTGTAGTTGTTCCTATATTTTTTCTTGATCATCTTATAAATTAGGGATTGAAATTGTGGGAATCTGATGCATTTCACTTTGTTGATGATGTTATCAACCTTAGCTATGCATGTCATTGATCAGCAGAACTTCCCTACCTAAATAGCACTTCTGTTTCTCCAACTTAAGATATTACACACTATGACAATAAATTATATTTTATGATAAAAATATACAAGAAATACTTATAATACATATATATATATATATATATATATATATATATATATATATATATATATATATATATATATATAT